CATCCTTAGCAAAGAAGAAGCCATATTCATTTGTATAAACAGAGAAGGTAAACAAATGGACAAGCCTTTCAAGAATTGTGTTCACAATTACAAAACCTCCTTAAATTGGCCTCTAATCCCCCATGACGCCATCTAGTTAAGCAGAAAAATGCAAAAATGAGATGAACGCCAAATGAAAACGGAAAGGAAAAGACAGGGCTCTTTGGATTACCTTCACTGCCTGGTTGTTAGACATTCATCCCAGTAATATTGCTGTTCTCCTGCTCTGCCCCCCTCCCCCTCAACAGGGGTAAGAAAAAGTTACCACAGGTGGAAAATTGCTGCTGGCATTAATCCTTCTAGCTCAGATAAAAAATATGGCCATCAGTAATCTCTTCTGGAATAGCCATCATTATTCATTTCAGTACCATGTTGAAAATGCAAGGGGTGGAGGGGGTTTTTTGGCCACTTTGAAAAAAAAAAAAAAAAAAAACCCTCATAGAAGAAATAAAATGAATGAGCATCTATGCATACTAAAATCCCAGTTTCATGTGACTAGATTAGAAAGCAGAAGCGAGGCCTTTTTTTCTTAGAGTATTTATTCCCTAAGGGGTTTGCCAGAAGACAGACTCCTAAGTTATCAAACTCGGAATTTTCTTCAATTCCTCCTTTTTCCAGTGTGCTCCTTGCGGTTAACTCCATTACTAACTTATAGCGATAAACACCTGGAGTCTATCAAACACAAAGAGAGGCTTATTCGGTGGGTACAGCCCTGCCTGCTGAACACCCTGAGCAGAAACAAACTACATAATATAAGACTTGAGCAGGAATATGTTTTTTATGATGTGCCAGCATCGGGGGGATCAAAGGCTAAAGTCAAATAAATAGCAACTGGGCACTCGCAGAAGAAACATATTTAGACTTTGAAATAATCAAAAACAAACCCAAAAGAACATGAACACCCTCCGCAGTCAGCAGTCAGATTTCCCTTTTTTTTTTTTTTTTTTTTTTTTTTTTTTTTTTTTTTTGTACATGGCTTAAACCTGTCAAGAGTTTTTGAAGCTCATCGCTGAGACTAAAGAAGAATCCTGTCTTTTACGGAGGCTGTGACAATAGCCATAAAAGAGTGGGCATTGAACAGATCTACCCTTCCCCCGCCCCCACCTTCACCTCCAGCCCCCTTCTCTTCCTCTATTGGCCTATTATTGAATTTACCTTGGCCACGTTATGGAATTTGCCGGCTGACATTAGCCCATTTATTGAGCTTGACTCCTTCTTATCTAAAACATCTCTAGACAAACTGAAACAAGCTGTCTACCAACCACTGATTGGCAGGGCAAATTTTTCCAGGTGGGACAACTAGCTTCCCTCAAGTGACTTGCTAGCCTTCTTTTCGTCTGGCAGAACGATCGAAAGAATACTGGAGCGACCATTGTTTGCTGCCATGTTTAGTATCTGCAATGTATTGACATAAACAAGTTTGAAAGATTAGTTGTATTGAAGAAAAGAAAAAAAAGTTGAGGATGGGGGGCCCAGCGCCAAGAGGAGGCGGCAGATATGAGAGCAGAGAATTGACAGGCTCAACCCCGAGGGCAAAAAGCTACATCTGCATTTGATTTGTCAGGGATTTACATTAGTGAAACCTTAACTCTGCAGATAATACATAAGATTACACTTACAGAACAAGCTTATGCAAATATAGCTTAAATGCCGAGGTATGTGGCCCAGACAGTAAATTTGGCAGATTTCATTGAGTCTGGTGGCTGGATCTAATAAATTCATTTACATGAAGGATTAGAACATCTGGAAAAGTAGCATGGTGGTTTATTGAAACATAAATAACATTAATTGAAAGGTTACAGGTATGCAAAACACTTCATGCAGGCGATTGCAAAATGTTATAAAGCTGCTTCTCTATTCAGCGAAGGCGAAAGCGAAAATACCTTGCTAACGTAAACAAAGAAGGTCATTTCCAGGACCTGATTTAAATGCCTCTTTCCATAGTAAGAGTGAGAGAGGCTGTGCCTGGCTTCATCCCGCCTTAGTAATGAAGCTTCTTCCCAATCTGCACTGTGCTGGCCTCCTGATACCCATCTCAGGCACTAATTAGCAGCAGCAAGGTAGTGCCATAATTAGATTTATTTTCAGCTACAAATCCTCAAACTGTCATGCCATTTTGGAGGCAGAAAAGCATGGCCGAGGTCTCCAGCCATTTCTTCAATGAGTTTATTTTTATTTTAGTGCTGTAATGTATACTCGCTGGTAATGTGGATTGCCGGTTAATGTCTCGTGGAGTTGGTTACCATAAGCATAATAACAAATTACCCGGAGGAAAGTGAGCAAAGATTGATATCATATGATTTAAAAGCTGAGAGGAAAGCTCGGGTGGTTTACAATCATTTGAGTACCTCAACATTAATTTATAACTTGGTAACCCATTCAAATTCCCCTTCGTCATTTATCCTCAAGTAAAGAGATGACTTAAGAGGCTGGGTCACCCCAAATGCCTCCAGTCTATAGCAATGGCAAGCCGTTTCTTTTAAAAGGATCGTTTTCATTGTAAGCCATTATCAAAACGCTGACTCTAGGAAGTCATGTAAATGAGGAAACAGGAAGTCTGGTGCTCTCTCAGGTATGGAGACTGTGTGGAGCCCACTTCAGAAACTCAATGTGGATTTGACAAAGTAATCAAGTAAAGAGTTGTTTGAGCAAAATTGAAAAAGGACCCTTGACAAGTTTTTATATATGTAGAAAATAAGATTTAATGGATTTATTGATATGCTTTAGAGAATAACAATATTAACAAAAGAGAAAACTATCTTAGATGGTATTGCTTCCCATAATGAGGAAGTAGACCATGATTTTTCCTTTCAAAACAGATAATAGAATCAGAAAATAAATCTTTACTGATGATTCGCACTTCAACCCTCACTGTCATAAGTACATATAGAAAATTGTAATACTCTTCTTGATAGAATTTCTGTCAAAAATTAAACATAACAGGTAACTGAAATTGGTCAAGTATAACTGCTACAGTAGTTTTTTTTTTTCCCCCTGTATAAATATTTTTTAAATGACTGAAAAGCTTTCTATTTTGGTCAATTGATATTTGACAAAAGAAGCAAGAGCATACAATGGAGTAAAAACAGTATCCTCAATAAATGATGTTGGGAAAATTGGACAAGTACATGCAAAAAAATGAAACCAGCCACCAACTTCACAATAAACAAGAATAAACTCAAAATGGCTAAAAGACTTAAAATAAATCACAAAGCCATAAAAATCCTAAAAGAAAACATAGGCAGCAAAATCTCTGACATCTCACGTAGCAAAAGTCTTGCTGATACATCTCCTAGGGCAAGAGAAACAAGGAAAAAAATGAATAAATGAGACTACATCAAACTAAAAAACTTCTGCACAGCAAAATAAATCATCAACAAAATCAAGAAGAGAACATATTCACCAATGATACATCTGATAAGGGGTTGATTTCCAAAATATATAAAGAACTCATACAACTCAACAAAAGGAAGACAACCAATCTAATTTAAAATGGGCAGAAGACCTAAATAAATACTTCTCCAAAGAGGACACATAGATGATCAATAGAAATTTGAAAAAAATGGCTGAAGCCGGTTTGGCTCAGTGGTAGAGCGTCGGTCTGCAGACTGAAAGGTCCCAGGTTCGATTCCGGTCAAGGGCATGTACATTGGTTGCAGGCACATCCCTGGAAGGGGGTGTGCAAGAGGCAGCTGGTCGATGTTTCTCTCTCATCGATGTTTCTAGCTATCTCTCCCTTCCTCTCTTTAAAAAATCGATAAAATATATATTTTTTTAAAAATTGAAAAAATGTTCAACATCACTAATTATCAGAGAGATTCAAATTAAAACCACAAAAAGGTATCACCTCACACCTGCCAGAATGGCTACTATCAATAAATCAACAATCAACAAGTTCTGGTGTGCATGTGGAGAAAAGGAAGCTCGAGTCTAGTACATTGCTGATGGGAATACAGGCTGGTACAGCCACTGTGGAAAACTGTGTTGTTTCCTCAAAAAATTAAAAAATGGAACTGCTATTTGAGCCAGTTATAATACCATTTCTAGGAATATGTCTTAAGAACCCTGAAACATCAATCACAAAGAATTTATGCACCCCTATGTTCATAGTAGCACTATTTACAATACTTAAGATCTGAAAACAGTCCAAGTGCCCATCAGTAAGTGTGTGGATAAAAAAGCTATGGTACATTCATACAATGGAATACTATGCAGCTATAACAAAAAGAAGGATCTCTTACCATCTGCCACAGCATGGATGGACCTGAAAATTGCAGTGCTAAGCAAAATAAGCCAGTCAGAGAAAGACAAATATTATATGATCTCACTTATATGTGGAATCTAATGAGCAAAATAAACTGAACAAAATAGGTTCAGGGTTATGGATGCATGAAACAGACTGACAGATCTTTGGAGAGGAGAGGGATGGGAAGAGTTTAACCAAAGAACTGTGCAATATGCCTATCCCATGAACACAAACAATAGTGTGGTGAAGTCCTGGGTTGGGGTGGAGACTGTGTGGGGAGGATCAGAGTGGGGGGATGGGGAGAGGGAAAATACTGTCAACAACTTTTTTAAAAAGCAAAGTTTTTTATTACATAGCAAAATACAATAGACCATGGAAAAAAAATCAAGTCATGGTTATGAGTTACCATGGCTCTCCAAAACCCAGAGAATTGGATAATTTCAAAATTTTACACAAAAACTTCGTTTGATCACACAGTGATAGAATATGAAATGTTCATCAGGAACTATATTTCATCCAATAGGATGTCTCACTGCTGCTTTTCACATAGAACAACTAGCCAACAGTCCTGCTGGGATGCCTAGGAAACACATCTTTATGTATACTGATATTGACCACTCTGAAAATTTAAGGGAAAAATGGTACTGCTTAAAAGAGAGGTCAGAGCCTCCTGACAAAAAGTGCAATCTTCATAAAACTGACAAGGTCTCAGTGTCTCGGGGCTCCGGGGCCCGCGGGAGCCTGTGGTCGGAGCGGAAGGAGGTGGAGGAGGAGGAAGCCCAGGCGGTGGAGGTGACTGCTTAGGAAACTGTACAGTCCACCAGTATCTGATGAAATTACTGACTAAGCAAATCAACCATGTCTTACACATCAGGAACCAGTGGTGACCCCACTCAGCTGGCCCAGCGGATCTCTTCCAACATCCAGAAGATCACACAATGTTCTGTGGAAATACAGAGGACACTGAATCAACTTGGAACACCTCAAGATACACCTGAATTGAGGCAACAGCTGCAACAGAAGCAGCAGTATACTAACCAACTTGCTAAAGAAACAGATAAGTACATTAAAGAGTTTGGATCTCTGCCTACCACCCCCAGTGAGCAGCGTCAAAGGAAAATACAGAAGGACCGCTTAGTGGCTGAGTTCACAACATCACTGACCAACTTTCAGAAGGTCCAGAGGCAAGCTGCTGAGAAAGAGAAAGACTTTGTGGCCCGAGTGAGAGCCAGTTCCAGAGTATCTGGTGGTTTTCCTGAGGAGAGCGCAAAAGACAGGAATCTTGTATCGTGGGAAAGCCAAACTCAATCTCAAGTGCAAGTACAAGATGATGAAATTACAGAGGATGACCTCCGCCTTATCCATGAGAGAGAGTCTTCTATTAGGCAACTTGAAGCTGATATTATGGATATTAATGAAATATTTAAAGATTTGGGAATGATGATTCATGAGCAAGGAGATGTGATAGATAGCATAGAAGCCAACGTCGAAAATGCAGAGGTGCATGTTCAGCAAGCAAACCAGCAGCTGTCGAGGGCATCAGATTATCAGCGCAAATCCAGAAAAACCATCTGCATCATCATTTCTCTCCTTGTCATCGGAATTGTAATTATTGGTGTCATATGGGGAGTGAAAGGCTAAAATTATGAAGGAGCACGCTGTTGCATTGAGTTATCTAAATTATGTAGGAAAGTTCCTGAAATCATGGTTTTTTATTATTTTAAAGGTGTTGCATAAAGGACGGCTCCCATACTTTTTATTTGGGGGAAATTTTCCTTTGGATCAAATATGTTATTTCCTAATACTGAAAGTTTTTCTAAATATCAGTGCTGGGCATAACTTCCATGATTTTTGGTCTAATAACTCTTAGTTTGTTTGCCCACATTGTATATGTCCTTCATGTATAATTTATTTATCATGTTGACTTGATTTTTGGAATTAATAAGTTTAAAGGTGTATATGTGTGTCCTGTGGGCATCTGTCTCAGTGTAACATGCACCCAGACTTGTGTTACTTCAATTAAAAATCTCAAATTTAATTTGAATTATGGCCAGCAGAGGAAATATTCTCAAAAACTTAAAACAAATTAACCTGTTTCTGTTGGCTTTTTTTTTTTTTTCTGGTTTACACCAGCACAATTATCTATTCAACTTTTACTGTTGTCTTGTCTTAAGACCCTTGATTACTCTGAATAAAGTCAGTGAAATGTTTAAAAAAAAAAAAAAAAAACTGACAAGGTCTCAGTGGACGTAGTAACATGTTGTAATCAGCAGGACCAGTTAATAGACTACCCATCAAATTAAATCCTCAGGATAATCCAAAACAGTAGTTTCAAAAAGAATTAACCTAAGAATCTCAGACACCAAACATGGTGGACAGTTCATCGATATTTTTGGATATTTTTGACACCTGAAGGTAGGGTTTTATAGGAAGTACTCTTTGACTTCCATTAAATCATTTCATTCACCTTCTTCCATTGACTTTCCTTTGCCTACTAGTGGAAGTTCAAGATCCTTGGTTTTTTATAGTGCCCCGGATGGGCATGGGACACACTTATGGGACCAGTGTTTTGTTATGTTAGTCTGCAATGTAGAGTGCTTTTGTTTTCTGGGTCCAGGTTAGAAAAACAAACAACAACACACACACACACAAAAACAAAAACAAAAAAAACAAAAAACAAAAAAACAGTGATAACAGAAAGAGTGCCTCACCAAACGTATTGCTCCCTACTGGGTCAGTTCATTAAACTTTAGCATACAACAAACCATGGATTTTTCGCAACTATGGACATTTGAACGTGTTTGTTCCTTTCTTTCCAACTAGCAGGCTCCCACCTATTCATCAAGATTCAGCTCAAATATCACCTGCTCTATGCATCTTTCCCCACCGTTCCTAGGCAAAGTTTACTCCTCTCCACTGTGTTCCCAACAGCACATTTGTACCTCTTTCATGTCATACATTTTTTCATTTAAAATATCAATGGCCAGGATCTCCAGGGCCAAGCACAATTCATAGAAGGTACTTAATAACTTGTTGAACAATTGAATCTAGTGGTGTCTGAAATGACAGTTCCATCAGAAGCAATTAACAAGACAAATGTATCAATTAAAGTAATTCCTTAAAGATGGATGGAAATCAGCTAAGCAGAAAAGGATTCCCAGAAGATATGGTTGGGGGGAAAAAAAAAAAGTTAAAAAATGAGCTGGAAAAGTCTCAGAAGAAAAAACATTTTTATGCCAAATCATCATTTACTTGTGGTTCTAACCTTGAGAACAGTTAGCTGAATAAGTATATTCAGACTTGTGGGGGGAAATCTATCCTATCCCCAATCATTCATTTAGCCCTCATGCTTGTCTACAAAAATGTGTTCATTGTCAAGCTTTCCATACTCTTCACCTGTGTTCATCACATTCATGGAAAATATTGGGGGGCAGTGACTACTTGGCTTTACCACACAACTTGACTTTTCCACATTTCTAAGGCTCAGCAGGGATACTAGAAGGGCAGGTACATTCTGGGCTTTGGTCATGGTTTACTTTCCCTGCTATCACACTTTAACTCTCTGGTCAATCAATTCCCCCTGAAATTTGCTTCACCTTTTCTTATGTCAGCCTGTCCCAGCATTGTCTATTATGAAGGTAGGTCATATGCTGGACCTACCATTAAAGAGCTGCTTCTATCTAACAGCCCAAATAGCAATAACATATATTCTAGTTTTTTTCAGAAAATAGTTCTGTAGTTTGACATGTGTCTGAAGATTCTGTGAGTGACCGCAAAGGAGGTTAATAGGTCAGTTTTAAAATTTGATTTCTAAATTTTTTACACCATTCTATTGAGAAATCGAGTCTTTGTTCCTCCCTTTTGAATCTAGGCTATGGGTCATGTCATGTCCCAAGAAAACCCAAACAGTTATTTAGCTGACAGCCAACATCAACTTGCCAGCTAACCAAGATTCTTTGCTTGAATGAACTTTTGTCAGACTCCTGAACCTTCTCCTAGGCCCATTTGTGTACCTCCTTGAAAAACCAATTTTAGCAAGAACCCTGCTAAATCAGTTTAATCAGAAAGCCCCACCTTTAATATCTGATCATGTTGGATATCTGATTGGGTTCTTCATCAAACATATGATTTATATGTTTGATGTTTGATATCATCTTCCAGGCGATGTCTGATCACTGTGGCCTTAATTCAGCAAGAATCCTGTTAAATTGATTTATCCAAAACCCTTCTTGATTCTGATGTTTCCTTTTAGCAGTTTCCCATCCTGCCACCCACCCTGTTCCTTGGCTACAAATTCTCACTTGTCCATGTTGTATTCAGAGTTTAGCTCAATTTTTCTCCTCAACTATAAAATCCTATGGCAGTGATTCCTCTACTTACCACTATAGTCCTGAGTAAAGTCTTCCTTACCATCTTTAACAAGTGTCATTTAAAAATGTTTTTTTTTAACACTACCTATATGAATGAGTCACCTTGAAAGCAAACCTTCAGGCCCCCACTGAGCTTCCCCAGCAGAAGCTAGCCTCACCCAAATGGCAGATTTAGGAACAAAATAGATGATTATTGTTGGGGGTGGCTTGGCATACAACAATACATAACTAATAGAGCTAGTAACTAAGGAATGACAAGGCATTTTTAGCCATATCGAGTTTTACCTAAGCCATTGTGGGTTTTTGTTTTATGACTGTGTGTGTGGCTGTTATTTGTCCAAGAACAATGAATCTTTAATCCCATTTTGCATATCAAAATTCTGGTTAGAAAAAGAATTGTGTGTAGATTTGACATTCATCCATTTTATTTTTTGTGTGTCACCGAGACTACTTTTTTCCTGAGTCCAAATGTCAGAGAAGAGCAGTCCTAAAATACAAAGGTCAAAGTTTTCTGCTTCACATAATGGGACATCCAGAATAAGGTGGGAAACATGAGTTTTCTTGAGCATGTCTCATTTAATAGCCTGGTACAACTGAAGTAAGAATGAGTAATAATTCCTTCAGCAGCCAAATTCCCCTCATTGTTTGATATTTAATTTTCAAATACTTTCTCATTGTTTAATAGCACCCAAAAACTTCCAATCTAACAAAAATATGAAACCAATTTTCTTATGAAACTTGCTCCATCCTATAATTTCTATAAGAAATTGTGTTACATAACATACTCGTCATAAAGACTTGCTTTTGCTCCCTAAATGTCTGGTGATTTCTGGGACTGTTTCCTCTGTTAATTGGTATATGAGGTGTGAATCCTGGAACCAGGAAAAATGCAAAAGGAAGTTCACAAATTCCACCATTTAAGAGTCAACTGGGCATGGTTCGTACTGTAATAAAATGCATTGGAAATCCTTTTGCCCTTCCTTCTGATCACCTTCTAGAAAGTATTGTGCTGTCTGAGACTTTCACTCTCTCAATTATCCATTTGTCCCTGGCAAAATTTCTTTAATCTATCTCTTATCTTTGAGACATAACAAGAGAATATAATGTATGAAGAAAGTGGCAGCATGATGGATGAAACTTCAGGAGCATTCTACTAGCTGACTGTTTAATAAAAATAAAAATAAAAATCTTGGATCTTCCTTGCTAGGTTTGAAACTTAACATGAGTTGGCCTTCAAGGAAATCTAAGTGCCATTTTTTGGTATACATGAATTTTTACCTATATCAATTGCTCAGAAAATTTGATATTTTCTAATTGCTTGTTATTGTAGAGGGTTTTTTTTTTTTCTTTTCTTAAATTCTAGAATAAAGAGAAACTAGTTTCTGAGGCTTTCATATAATACCTTTTCAATTTAATCCATATTTAAGTTATTTCTCATATATCTTTTTTTAAAGTTGTTTATGGTATCAAATGTTATTTCTTCATATGCTTTTTTTTTAATATATTGTTATTGCTTTCAGAGATGAAGGGAGAGGGAGAGATAGGAACATCAATGATAAGAGAGAATCATTGATTGGCTGCCTCCTGCACACACCCTGCTGGAGATCAAACCCGAAACTCTGCATGTACCCTTGAACGAATTGTACCAGGGCCCCTTCAGTCAACAGGTCTATGCTCTACCCACTGAGTCAAATCAGGTAGGGCTCTTTATAAGCTTTTTCAAATATATTGCAAGTCTATTTTAACCCACCTGACACTATCCATCTGTAACTCTATTTGGAATAACTTCTTGAACTGGTCAAAGGTCTGGAATTGAGACAATCAAAATTAAATATATTAAATAAAAATAAGTATTTCCAAATATAAGCAACTAAAAGACCTTTTATGATGAACCAACCTGATGAAACAAAAGGCCTTTCCTTCTATTCTCCAGATCAAGATGTTTTACCTGTGATGTAACTCTTGCTAACTCAATGATAAGACCAGTGGTTTAGCCAATAATTATGGTATTATTATGGGAGCCCTAAAGTGTTATGTAAAATATGATTCTAGAGGGCAGAGAGGATGATCACCTAGATACAAGTCAGGGATGTAAACCAAACTTGGACATTAATAATTCATTGCTTTTAAAAAAATTAATGAATAAATAAAAAGAAAGAATTCATTGCTTTTCTATTTTCATCCCAAGAAACATTTGAATAATCATGCTTGTTTAGCAGACTTGTGCATTAATTTGATGTTATTTGAGTTTCACATGGTTCTACTATTCTGTTTAATGCCATTTCATACACAGATCATAAGCAAGTTACATAAATAAAAAATAAAATTAAACGTATTCATTTTAAATTATTCATATTGGGTTCAAAATTATTAAAAATAATTAGACAATCATTTATTTTATTCCGATAAGTATCCCTGTGCTTTGAAAAAATGCTTTATTTTAATGTGCAAAGATAAAAGAGATTACATTCAGTTCACCAACTGAGTCAACTAATTTCTGAGACATTTGTGATTTCTTTCCTGGTCAGCATGTCATACCAAAGAGGGATTATCGTGACTGCAATTTGTTTCAGATTTACTCTGTCAG